TATATTTTAAATATTTTTAGGTATCCATTGAAGGATACTTAGGGTAAGCTATAAAGGAGATGAAGTTGTTTTTCTATTTATGCATGTGTATATTTTTTGAAGCAATATTATTGGGACCTAATTCACTATGAACATTGTATTGATTGTAGGTTCCATCAAACATTGAAACTTGATGTTAATCCAATGGTTTCAATGAAACCACGTCATTAGGTCAGTAAATTATGTTAGATTTTTAGGTCCAAATAGGATTTTCCTATTTTTTGTGTTCCGTCTTTTGTATAGTAAACCAATTATACATGGTTATGATGGTTTTAGATATAGAATGATGGTTGTTTTGGTGGTTGGGTATGTATTGATGATTGTGGTGATATGGTATATTATAATGATTGTAAGTATTATAGACAAGTTTAGATTTTTCTAGGCTTCTATTTTTAAAGGAAATTTTACAGAAATTTATTGAAATTAGTAAGAACTAGTTTGATGTTTTGGTGGTTGGATATGTGTTGATAATTGGATATGTATTAATTATTGTGCTGGTATGGTGAATTATGATGATTATTATGTCCAATTGTAAGTTTTATAGACATGTTGTTTTAGGCTGTAAAGAGTCTATAGGTAATATAATATTTTTCGAGTTTTAATCTATTCGTCTCTATTTATGCATTGTACGAGGGGCGAACCTGTATTGTCATGCGTGTTGTATTTTTGAATTGTTTAAATGATATCGTATCAATTTTTTTCCAATATATACCCGGCTCCTTTTTAATTGTGTAGAGCGACATTAGTGTTGAGCTTGAGTTGGATATAAGTGTGTTTAACTTTTTTTATCGTCCAATTTATTTAACATATTTAACAAATTCATCTGTTTACATACAAATTCGCTATAATAAACTTGAATTTGTTGCTCCGTAATGATTCTGTCAATTCGCAGGTCGTATCTAATGTTGTCGGTGTTTTCGAATTGGTCATGAAGCATAACCATGGAGTATAGTTTTCATAGGTGGGCCTTGGGTAGATATCAGCATGAAAGAGAAATGTGCCATTACCATCTACAAACTCTCTTCTACCAATTCTTGTGGTGACTTTTTTTTTTAGTAACTAATGCTTTTGGTGAATTCCTCAGGGCAATAATACAGCATTGTCATCATTTGGTGTATGTGGTCTTGTGTTAGACGTTTGCTTATCCATTAGATTTGAATTCAAACTAGTGGCACGGATACGCGCTAGGCCTCCGCATGAAATGGTTTTCTTTTTTAATAGGGTGTCTAGGCTTGCATCACATTCGAATTTAGCGACTGCTACCGTAACCGTAACTTGAATTAGGTTAGAGCATATCCCCAAGGAACAAGGGTGGCTGACCCTTAGGGAGTGTGGGAAGTAATTGAACATAGGACTTCTGAGTTACCAAAGATTAAATTCAACTACTGAACCACCTCTAAGAGTTGCATATGAAATGATTGAATGCAAGTTCCGGTTAATGTTGATCTTCATTAAGTCAAGGGTATAAGTGTCCTTTCCCGACATGAGATAAGGAAATAATTATCCTTTTTATTTTATAGAAAAAGGGTAAATTGCCCTTTTTACTGTCATCATTTTTTAACTTTGTCCCCTCAACTATCAAATTTCTTACATTACACCATCAATTATGTTATTAGTTTCACATTGCCTCACTTATTATCATCTATTATATATTTAACCAAAATTTATTTCATTTTGCCCATAAACTATATAAGTAGGGCTGTTAAAATTTGACACAACACGATTAACCGACACGAATTAAGCGAGTTTGGGTGAGATCTTAACAGGTTTGGGAGATAAACGGGTTGACACACCAAACACGTTTAATAAACTGGTCGTGTTCGGGTGAGACTTGTTAAACCGATTATCACACGTTTATCTGTTTAAATAAAATTAATATAATAATAAATTAATAATTATTTTAAAAAATTAGCAAGAAAAAAAAAAGTAAAGAAATCAATAATTAAAAAAAAAAGTAAAGTAGTAGTTCAAAAACAAAAGAGAAGAGATGAGGAGCACTTCAAAAACAAAGGCAAACCAATGTCTTTGGTTTTTGTCCCACATTGAAAAATAAGGGGAGATGAGGAAGGTTGAGTTGTTTATAAAAAGCAATGGTCTTTTGTTTTTTTTTTTTTTTCTAAGTCTTTAAATCTTATTTTTATGAGATTTGACTAAAAATTCCTCTTTTTTGAGGTAACTGCAATTGAAAAAAAAAAAGTAGAGCATTAAAATTTGTTAATATAATTTTTTTAAAATTAAACGGGTTAAACGAGTCGTGACGTGTTCGTGTTGAGATTTTTTACCCGTTTATTAAACATGTCTTGTATGGGTTTATATATTTTTCATCCGTTTAACCCGACGCGTTTGACGCGTTTGACACCCCTTATATATAAGTTTTTTTACTTTACCCTGACGCGTCAGTGATTTCTGTTAAAAAAAATAACAAATATTTGTAATTGGAGCAATGTAAAATAAAAGTGTTAGTTGAGGGTGTAATATAAGAAATCTAGTAGGAGACAAAATAAAAAAAAGGTGATAGAAAAGAAAAAGATACAAGCGATGAGCTAACAGCACCCCGTGAATTAGTCAACATATGGAAAAGCAACCCAACCCAATTATCATTGGAAAATATATAGTGAGACAATGCACAAGAATAAACCGGAAAGCTCCATAATCGGAATTGTATTAAGATCAAATTTGGATCAAAACTCAATCCATTAATGATACTATGTATAACTGATAACTTAGCTAGCTTTCTTTGAAAAATCGAGAGATTTTTTAATTTTTAAGCTTAAAAGGTTTGTAACCATGTGAATTACTTCAGCCTTTTATTTTTTTTGTTAGATAGTTTGTTAATGTTGCTCTTCATAGAGTACAATAGAAGTCTAGGATTCATACAATGGGCCTTAAAAAAATTAGAATACAATTTTGTTGAACTGATTAGCTTGTCCAAACCTTTGTTGTTTGTTGAATTGAATTGATTTGAGTTGAGATAGACTGTTCATACCCTTCTTATTAAATGATCTTAGCAACTCGAGCTTGACTCTATTCGGCGTTGTTGATTCATTGGGCTCATTCAAATTGTAGAATAAATTGAATTTAATCAAATTGTCAATCCAAATAATGTGCAACTCAACTCCGCTCAAATATATCCTTGCCCATAAACAATTCTAATTTTAATATAATTTTTGAGAAATTGATAATTTAGGATTGATGATTATTTTTTACGGTTTAATTTCTAAAAAATATTATTATTAATAAAAAAATTAAGCATGATTTTAACTAGAAATGCTCGTAAACTTGTGTCAAGCTGAGTTTGAACAAAAATTTAAAATCAAGTCAAGCTTATACTGCGTCAATCTAACCAACTTAAGGTATATTTGAACCCAACAGGCCCAACTTGATTAAAACCCCTACCCAATAGGCAGATGAGCCCAACACCAGTGGGGCTCAAACCCTGCCCTCCCTTCCCTATATGGAGAAGCAGTTGGTCAAAGCTCAACGTCTTCAGTCTGAAAAAACAACATAGCTCCAATAAAAACCATATGGATTTGCCTGAAGAAAACCGTAGGAAGTTCAAAAACAAGCAATACCTCCATTCTGTATTGGTTATAACTGGTTGAAATGCTTAACATAAAAGTTCAAAAACAAGCATTATCTCCATTCTGTATTGGTTATAACTGGTTCAAATGCTTAACATGATATTGTGCTAAAAGCTCTCACCAGCCCTCCATAATATTATGCTTAACATAATATGGCCTATAAAATATCAAATTCGATGCATGCAAATCATAAAAATGCATTCCTTTTCCTGAAATTGTAAAGTCCTCAAGGATAATTACATTAAAAACCTACAATTAAAGTTGCCAAAAGCGAGGATGGACTGACTAGACATTCGAACACGACCATTTTGATATGTTATGAAAAGACCAGGCAAAAAAAGATCATACCTAGGCTCCCACCTCATCCTCATTTTGAAGAGTCTGATTCCAAATTCCCACCAACAACATATCACTTGGACAAATGAGAACCAACCATCACCCACCTACAAAACCTGAGTATACTCAACAAAAAATTCAGTAATCTTCACTCCATGACGAATAGAGTGCTGATGACATTCTTAACAGGTTCCCTCTGGCTGCAATGCATCTGCACCTACCCCTCCAGATCAAGTATCCACATATCACACGTATCTCAACAAGAAGGTACAACCAGAAACGCAAAAATTCACATGTACATCCTCAATCAGTTTATGCATATTTGCGTACATCCATCAGTTTATGCATATATCCATGCATCCAATACTGTATATGATCATGAAATCCCTAATTACTTAACCAGTTCCAATCAAATGCATCTTTGATAGACAACTGACAACAATCAATTCAAGCCAAATAATCAAATACTAACCAGCAATTATCCAATGTTGGTTCCTGCAAAATAGAGCATACACGAGTAACTACACTGGATACGTACCTAAACTTTAGCACTATCAACCTGAATAACCAATATTCTAACTTGTGATAGCCAAAGCTAATGTGCCATAGCTGTACTTGGACTTTGGTAATAATACTACTCAAAATCTCCAATGGCTAAAATATCATTGCATGAGAGCAATTTCACCTATTACCAATTTCATCTACCAAATAAATGTATAAAACATATAAGAGGTATGGTGACGCAGATCCCAAGCAATGACAATCAGCTCAAGTACCCTTTGACCTCAACAATATCATTAATTGGTTAAAGGGTGGAGAGAGAGACATAAAGCACCTCGATTTATGTGTTTGTTCATGTACTTTTGTAAGCGTATACACCTACCACAGGTCATGGAAGATTTAGAATCTTTACATGTAACACCTGTATTTTGCCATTAAGAATGTAAAAATCTTGCACAGAAACCACAATATAAATATTTGATGCTGATAAAATATCCTGAAACATCCATCTGAGAGAGAGAGATGTCAATTGACACTCTTGCAATGGCTGGTGCCGACTGTATGAAATGCAGTATCAACTACAGACTTGGAGATGACACCAGAATACCTACTGGCTGATCAAAATGACAGAGAAAGAAAGGAAATAACCAATCTGATGATTCAAGAACAGCTCTCAAAGGCACATATGATGGATTGGGCTGAAGACATTGCTTCTCCTAGAACAGTGCCATGGCCATACAAGCAAGCCATAGAACCCTTAAACGTCCACTTGGCTCCTTGAAAACATGGTAAGAAGGGTCAGGAAACTCTTCAATTTGAAAGGCAACCTTTTCAAGGCTGTCTCATTGCATAAGATGTCTAAGCAATGTAATCAGTCAGTACCAAATAACACAGCCATAAAGCTGGAAGTCAAAAAAAAAAAAAAGTTGGTCATGTAAAATGTGCTTGGATGTAAATTATAATCAGCTAGAAAACTTTTTTGAATATCTGTAACTATCAAAAGAATCGAAAAGGAAAAAAACACAAAAAATTAGTCTTAATCAATGTTTGAGCCCTTGAAATTTCACAACAAATAAATTGAGGGTGCAACAAACTAAAGTGAGATGTCAAATTTTTTTCAAGGCTTCATTGCATGATAGAGGATCTGTGTACACTGACACATAAGATAAATTTTGATCTACAAATGAATGAAGAAACAGATGCAGCTTCACAAGATCACAAAACGAGAAGTCAAATCCTAAGTTTATCTTGGATATTAAAAACTTTACTCAGTGACAGACTATTGGCAGCTGTTGCAGATGTCGAACATACCAATAACAAAAGAAATCATTATATAAAAATAGAAATTATTATTGATTATGGGTCTGCTAATGCATGCCAAAATTAACAAAAAAATTATATGGGAAAAACAAGAATAAGATGAAGAGCTGGTCCCAGAAATGCATCCAATACAACATGAAAGTATGCTTATAGGATATGCTATCTCATTGATTAGGCCAATGTATTACAGGATTTACATACTTGTTGAGACATTTTATTACCTCATCTTCCACCAGACAATTCAACAGCCACCTGGTTATAAATAGAATCTTCTCCCCAGTCAAATCTTCTCTGTAATCTCTCATACTCTTGCCTACGGGTAACTTCAACATGCTGCCATTCTTCCCACCTCTCAGCAAGACCCTCTCCTTCTAGCATCCGGACCACATCTGACATCGCCGGCCGGTCCTCTGGTGATGCTTGAGTGCAGAGCAATGCAACCTGAATCATCATCTCAACTTCTTCGATGTTGAAATTGTCATTCAGATTGCAGTCTACAATAGCATCTAGTATTTTCTCCCTTTGCACTTTCTTGACCTTCAAGCAGACAGGTGGGATAATTAAGTGTCGATATCAGACAACGGGGCACATAACCAAGAAATAAGACAAGGATGAAAAAAAATATAAAAGGAATTTGGTAACAACACAAAAACAAAAATATAGTGTCAAGTTTCTAAAGCATCAGAGACAAAAGTCTGAACTCAACAAAGCCTTATCTCAACTATTTGGGGTCGCCTATATGGATCATGTTCCACCACAGAGATCGATCCAAGGAACCCACACTCAAGGCATCTCATCATAGTTAAATCCCTCTATGTATGATATCATTTGTAAGCACATTTAGAATGATGCAAAGCCATCGAATATGTTATTCATGACATCAATTAGGACAGGGACAAGTGACTGGCTGTAAAAGGTGAAATAAGAGCCAGAGAGCACACTCTTGCGGTCTTTGTTGCACCGAAGATCGTAGAATTTATAGAGAAGCTGTTTCAGGAAAGCATAGGAAAATCTACATATGCTTTCATCAATATATCAATGCACTCCGGTAGCGGTTAATGTATAAATCACTAGAGGCCCACTTCACCGCCAAAGTTAAAAAGTTTCATATCTTCCAGAGTAAAAGTGACACTGCAGTTGTGACTCGGACTCTGCAACATTTACACATGCACACACGCATGCTGATACAGACACAAATGTCTCTTTATTTGTGTGTGTGTGTGCGTGTGTGTGTGTGTGTGTTTTTTTTTTTATTGGGGGGGGGTTGCATGTACATGTTTAGAGAGAGAGAGAGAGAGAGAGAGGGAGAGGGAGAGGGAGAGGGAGAGAAGGTACGCATAAAGAAAGACAGTAGTCACAGTACATATCAAGGTCATCTTACATGATCAAGTAATAAGACATCATCTTCTTCTTCCAGGCGTGAAAAGTCTATGGCTCGTTGGCCTGTTACAAGCTCTAGAAGCATAATTCCATATCCAAAAACATCTGTCCTTTCTGATGACTTCCCAGTTGACAAGTACTCTGGAGCTATGTGACCCATGGTTCCACGAACTTGAGTCGTAACGTTAGTCTTTCTCACATCAACCAATTTTGCCAAGCCAAAGTCACCAACAACAGCTTCGAAATCTTCATCCAGCATCACATTAGCAGCCTTAACATCTCGATGGATGATTTTGGGATTACAATGTTCATGAAGATACTCTAGACCACGTGCTGTGCCTAAAGCCACTCGTTTTCTTGTAGGCCAGTCTAAAACAGCCTCCCCTGGTTTAAATTCTGCATAAATGTGAAAAAACAGTAAATGATTACAAGTAAAGCAACTGAAAATAAACATAGCATGATTCACACATGAAAAGTATGTAAATTGAACAAATCCTGAAAAATCCTATTAAGATAATGGGCGGAGTCCATGACCCCACAACTTGGTACAATTTTTGTGAACATGTTTGGCTCTATAGCATTTACAAGTCCAGGATGAGTTAACAAGATCTGGACAAGAGCACTTAGATGATGGTGAGAATGACATGAAAGCTTGCAATACTCTTCAATCAATATATTTCAACCTTTTGCTTTAGTATATTATAGAAAATACTAGCACAACCGATTTGAAATACTCTTTTGCTACTTGGATAAGAAACACAATCAACCCCAAGGTAGACTTAAATACACTCCGCCCACACTGGCACCAAGGTTTTTCCTGACCTCAGGTCTAAGAAATCATGCACTAGTTCAAAAGGGAATTATGCCTTTCCATCATCATAACTTGCACAGATTTTACATGCTTGATTGGCATATTTTAAGGGTGTTCTTATCACCATATATGTATTTATTGGTTCTAACATGCATTACCTACTAATCTTACCCATGCATTAATGTTATTCTCACTCTTTCCTTTTGTTTAAAGTCATATATCCAAGAAAGAGTAAACAGATAAGCAGCAGAAAATTGGGCAAATTGATTTGGCATAGCAAATAAAGAAAGATATCACCCTGGCATAAATATAGTACTGAGTGTGTGAATAAAAGCACCAACTTTTTTGAAGAAAGGACCCTCAATTTGACTTTTAATTTGACAAATGCCATAGTCGATTAAGTTATTACTTTGAATCCACCGAGTGAATTAATATTGTAGCTGTTGTTAAAGCTTCTTCTTGACTTTCTATTGAGGCTGTTAAGAGAGTTAGGGTATTACATAAATATTAGTTAGTTGTAATAAGTATACCACTAGAGGGTATACACGTTTTTTGTATGGTTACAAGTTAAATATAAATACAAGTGGTTTGTGAGATGTAAGTCAAGTTTTCGACCAACCTCCTTCTTTCTCTAATATTGTGTTAACTCTCTAAACCTAACATAGTATCAGAGCAACATTAATCATTTGAAAGACAACTTGATTCTTTAATTTTTTCTTCCTTTTCTTTCCCTTTCTTTTCTTTTTTTTTCCCTCTGTTCTGTTTGATGTTCTTGGCTCAGTTGTAAGCACCACAGTCATGGTCTTCAAATTGTGGTTGTTGGTGCAATGATCGCACGAGTGTGAGTGCGGTGTAGCTCCATTAATCGTGCTCTGTTAATCGCGATTTGTTAAGGTGGTGGTAGTGGTGCATCGTCGTTGGTGGTGGTGTTGCGCCATTGTCGGTGGATGTTGTGTTGGCGGTTGAAGATTTACTGTGGTGGCATGGTGGCTATGTCGTTGTGGTAGTGGTGCTGTGCTGGTGTCGTCGTCGTCAATTTGTTACATCGTTGATGCGGTGTTGTTAAATAAAGGGTTTCAATGAAACCCTAGCATGGAGAAGACGAAGCCTATTCTTCACAGGTCGGGTTGCCAAGGCAGGTTGGGTTATTCTCAAGTCCAGTCCAACAACATAATTCAATAGGCCCGATAAGCAAAGATCCATATCCAGATCTAACCCAATCCAGACCCAGCCCAATTAAGATCTAGCCCAGTTGAGTCAGTCCAGTCCAGATCCACTAGCACACTGATTCATCCAGCAGACCGGTTCATTCCCGATTCATCCTCGGCTCATCTCGGTTCACCTCAATCTGGTCTGGTTCAGGGTTGGTTCAAGCCCGGTTCAGCTCTTCTAGACTAGTTTGCACCGGTTCAGGCATCCAACAATCTCTCTTGGTTCGGTTCAGCCATCCAACAGTCTCCCTTGGTCCAGTTCAATCATCCAGTAGTCTTTCTTGGTCCGATTCAGACATCCAATAGCTCTCCCTAGTCCGGTTTACCCATCTAGCAGCTGTCTCACATCCAGTTCACGCATCCAATCCACAGTTCAGGTCCGGTCCAGCCTACTATCACTGAAGCACAGTTCTTTCTTTCTTTGGTTATATTGTTGATGTACTATTATGGAATCTAAGAATAAAAATGATGATTGTAAGTTTGATCTTATTCCACCTATGCCACCGAATTTTTTTCCTACGGTTCTACTTAATGGTCCCATGACATCTGTTAAACTCAATGGGACCAATTATGTTTTGTGGTCACGATTTATTAAAGTGTTTCTTAGATGTAAAGGTTTTAACAAATATTTAGTGGACACTAAACCTAAGGAAGGTAATCTTGGATATGATAAATGGGAACAAAAAGATACACAAATTATTTCATTTCTAATGAATAGTATTGAGTCTAGTATCAGTTTTACTTTGTTTTATCTCGACACGGCTAAAGAGATCTGGAATCACTTGGCCACCATGTACTTTGACACTGAGAATTTTACTCGTGCATATGAAGTATGCAAACAATATTTTCGTCTGGAGCAAGGTACTCTAAGTCTTGAGGACTATTACTCTTATGTTCGGAGAGTGTGTGAGGAGTTGAAACTATACCACCCCTTTGCTACTGATGTAGCAGTTTGGCAGAAGTAACATAAGGATTTGAATGTTGTCCGATTTTTAGTTGGTTTGAAATCTGAGTATGAGTCTTTTCGCTCTCAGATTTTGGATGGCTCTAGTCTTCCATCTTTATCGGAGGTTTTCTCCCACTTGCAGCGTGTTACCTTCTCTACCGGTTTATCCAATACAAAATCTGGTGTGCCTACTGATCGTTCAGCTCTTGTTGTCCCGAGTAGACACAGTGATAGTTCTCGAGGTGACTGCGATAATCGTGGTGGTCACAGAGGTCAGAGGGGCCGTACTTGCAGTCGTACTGAAGGTCGTGGAGGGCGGTCAGTTTCGTACATGCACTTATTGTGGTCATGGCGACCACATTATTGATTATTGCTAGGATTTACATCGCAAGCCTTCGGGAGTTGCTAACCAAGTTTCTTATCAGGATAACACCTCGATTACTACCTGTATACCTCGGTCCGCTCCACCTAATTTCGAGTCAGTTATTCTTACAAGGGAGGAGTATGTTCAGTTCTTATCTCAGCAATAGGTCATTCCATCTTCCTCCACTGCTACTTTTACCCAATCAGGTATCATTCTTACTTGCTTATTATCTTCCACTCGCGATCCCTGAATCATAGACTCTGACGCTTCTGATCACATTACTGATGCGTCTGATGTCTTTTCTACCAATTAGTCTACTCCTTCCACACACAGTGTTACTCTTGCTAATGGTACTTTTTTCAAAATTTTAGGTTTAGGAACTACTCAATTGAGTCCTAATATGTCACTATCCTTCGTGTTATTTGTTCCTCAATTTTTCTTTAGTTTACTCTCCATTAGCAAGATTACACGTTCTCTTAATTGTTCCGTAAACTTTTATCCCTCTTATTATGTATTTCAGGATCTCAAGACGAAGAGGAAGATTGGTACAACGCACGAAGCCAGTGGTCTCTATTACTTTGACTTTGATTCATCTATCAGGCTCTACAGATCTCGTCATCTCCGTTCTAATGACATTACCGTCTTGGTCATCTCTCTTCCCAGAATTTGAAGTGTCAAGTTCCTAGTTTTAGTTATGTGTCATCTGTGTCTTCTGAAGCTTGTCAACTTAGTAAGCATTACCGTGTGTCCTTTCAGTCTAGAAATAATAATTGCGTCTAATCCATTAGAGTTAGTACATTGTGATGTCTGAGATCTAATAAAGAATATTTTTTTCTAATAAATATCCTTATTTTGTATTATTTGTAGATGACTATTCTCGTGTAACCTGGTTATTTCTTATAAAACTCGTTTTGAATTATTCTCTATATTTGAAACTTTTTGTAAAAAAATAAAAACTCAGTATAGTTGTCGCATTCATATTTTTCATTTTGATAATTCTTGGGAATATGAATATAATCCCTTTTCAGCTTACCTTAGTAAAACTAACATTATTCATCAGACTTCATCTACTTGCAACTCTCAACAGAATAGCGTTGCTAAGCGTAAGAATCATCATCTATTAGAAGTCACTTGTGCCCAGTTATTCCAGATGAATATTCTCCGTTGTTTTTAGAGTGATGTTGTTCTTACTACTTTTCATCTTATTAATCGCATGTCATCGTTTGTATTAAATGGACAAAGTCCATATTCTGTCCTTTTCCCGAGTAAGCCCCTATTTTTTTAACTTCTAAGGTTTTTGGGTGTGTCATAACAAGTTTGATAAATTTGACTCTCATGCTACCAAATATGTCTTTCTAAGATACTCCCGCACACAAAAGGGATATCGCTGCTATAGTCCTTTCCTTCGTCGATACTTTACTAGTGCTGATATCACTTTTGATGAATCAATTCCTTATTTTTCGGCACTTACTCAGCCTTTGGATCTGGATTTTGGGTTGTCCCTTATACCACCATCTATTCCCTTACTATTAGATATTCTGTTGTCCACTGTACAACCGTCTACTTCTCCACTCCGTTTATATTCTCATCGTCCTCGACCATTGACTGAGGTGCCCGTATCGTATTTCTTGTCGTCTCCTGATCTTGGTTCATCAGATACCTCTGACTCTTTAAGTTTAATCTGAATGGTTCTGTGGAGCGTCTCAAAGCCTGCCTTGTCGCCAAGGACTTTACTCAAGCCTATGGGATTGATTATGAAGAGGCTTTTTCTCCCGTTGTCAAAATCTCTTATGTTCGTATGTTAATTTCTTTGACTGCTAATTTTGATTGACCCTTGTTTCAGCTATATGTCAAGAATGCCTTCGTACATGGTGACTTGGTTGAAGAGATCTACATAGAGCAACCACTTGAGTTTACTGCTCAGGGGGAGTGCTGTAAGCATGTATGTTGATTAAAGAAATCTCTATACAATTTAAAGCAATCACCGAGAGCATGGTTAAGTAAGTTTTCAGATGCAGGTTTAGAATTTGACCTTCTTCGATATCAAACAGATCATTCTGTGTTTCATAGACAGACAAATGTCAAATATGTTATGTTGATGGTTTATGTAGATGATATTATAATTATTGAAAATGATTCTGAAGGAATTGTCAAGTTGAAAACCTTCCTACAAAACCGATTTCATACTAAAGACTTGGAAAACTCAAATATTTCTTGGGTATTAAGGTTGCGAGATCTAAACAGGGTATTTGTTTATTCCAAAAAAAGTATATACTTGATATGCTAGAGGAAACAGGTTTGTTAGGTGATAGACTAATTGATGTTCCTATGGATCCGAATTAAAAATTGTTGATGGATTATGGTGTACTGTTTGAGAATCTGGCCCAGTATCACAGGTTGGTTGGAAAGCTCAATCATCTCACTATCATCCGACCGAATATTTTTCATGCAGTTAGTATTGTAAGTCAGTTTATGGGTTGTCCTAGAGTACCACATTAAGAGGTAGTTACTCATATTCTACGATATCTCAGACGTGCTCTTGGTCTTGGGCTGTTATATTGAGCTAATAGTCATCTTAGAGTTGAAAATTTTTCAAATGCTGATCGGGCAAACTCTCCTTCTGATCGAAGGTCAACCACTGGTTATTGTACTTTTTCAGCCGGTAACATTGTCTCGTGGAAGACTAAGAAACAAATTGTGGTAGCAAGGTCCAGTGCTGAGGCTGAGCATAGAGCAATGACACATACAACCAGTGAATTGACATAGCTACTACACTTTCTCCAGAAAATTGACTTTCCAGTTCAACATCCTCTACAGTTGTTCTGTGACAATCAGACATCCATTCATATTGTTGTTGGTCCAGTATTTCTTGAGAGAACCAAACATATTGAGATTGATTGTCATTTTATTCGAGACAAGATAGTAGTTGGAGATATTATGACTCTATTTGTGAGATATGAGGATCAACTTGCGAATATGTTTACCAAAACATTAAGTCGTATATGTCTTACAACCATTTGTTCCAAGCTTAAATTACTTAATATTTATAATCCAGCTTTAGGGGGAGTGTTAGGGTATTATGTATATATTAGTTAGTTGTAATAAGTATACCACTAGAGGGTAACACGTCTTTTGTATGGTTACAAGTTAAATATAAATACAAGTGATTTGTGAGATGTAAATCAAGTTTTCGACCACTCTCTGTCTTTCTCTAATATTGTGTTAACTCTCTAAACTTAACAGAGACTATGGTTGAGCCACTTGTGCATTTGCTTTGAAAGTCTAAGTTGAGAAAGGCCCAAATGATCCACCATTAGGTTTGTGAAGTTTTATGAGAAAAATTGGTCATTCCAGATAGACAAACCTTCGCAATAAGGGTTGTAACACATACACATTTATATAAAATGATTGTGTACGTGTCAACGTGTGCATGTGTATATGCACATATAGAAGGCATTTAAAGAATAGAACATAAACTAGGGAAGATTATGTAATGGAAGTGAAGTGAAGGAAAGCCATTAGTAACTCATATTCACATGTGAGAGCTAAAGAACTAACTCTCCCAAAAATAGTAAAGAACTAATACCTCTTAGACAATAAGCAACACTTAAGTTCTGCATAAAGGGATACACCAGAAGGCGTTCCGTTGGTGTGGTGCAAAAGCCGATCAGTCGTAAGAGGTTCCTGTGAACAGCCACACTTATCATCTCAACTTCACGCTGGAATGCTGCATCCCCACCAGGACTCTCATAATCAGTCAACCGTTTCACGGCAACTTTTGTGTTGTCTGCAAGCACTCCTTTATAAACCTTTCCAAAACCTCCCTGTCCAAGGACATTTTTCTCACTGAAGTTCTCTGTAGCTAGTTGTAATTCCCTCCATGCAAATCTTTTCAACTGACCAAATGCAATTTGTCGGTCAACTTCCCCTGAGCACAAAAGAGAAAAGAAAAGTATCCATCAGCATAGTCCCAAAGGAACCAAAGTTATTCCTAATTCAAAACTTCCACTACATTCTACCAAGAAGTAGGATTATTCATGTCAAAAAAGAGAGGACAGAGATTAACACACACTCAGGAAGACAACAAAAAAAATAGTAACTTGCAATGATATCTCCGCATGCATAAGGAGTTAAGGCTGAATACATCTCACCGATCCCAGACCCCACAGTGGCAACACCCTCACGCACTGTGCTGGCCTTTTTATCATTGCCTTTTTTATATCTTGTTGTAACAAAATAATTATATTTTCAAACCAATTTCTCAAAATTATATGCAACCACGTGCATATATATACAGAGGAAGGAGAGAGAAGCGATCAATCTAGCCGTCCTAGATGCGCGTCTCGTGTAGAGTAGGCATTGACAGTACCGTGTTGTGGCATAGGAGGGCCATGTTTTTGATAACCACAGTGTTCAACCATTGTTTTAACAGTAATTTATCTTTCCCTATAACCTTCTATGGCACTTCAACCTTCCAAATTCTAATAGAAGGTTAAAAAATAGGTGGCTAACCAATGAGCTTCTGAAAAAATGATTGACACAAAAAGTATTCCAGACGAGCCAAGAGCCCAACATCTTTTATCATGAGATAACAAATCAAGAAACTGTAAATCAAGAACAGACATTAATGAACACAATGCCACTAGTAACCAACCATTCAAATGTCTAAAAATTTTGAAATTCCAATTCGAGTGGAAGGAAGAAGATTCAAACATGCAAGCAACACAAATTATGAGACCAATGAAAATGATGACTGCGACGGAACAAAGAGGAAAAACAAACCTCTCCCATCATATGTCTTTCCAAAAGTGAATTATTTCCCATTTTCCACCATCAATCAAAGAAAGATGGAAAAATAGGACAAACCATGGGACATATGTTTCCAACGGAAATGGGAGGATCCCCTTCTCACTACATAGGACTCCTACCTGTTAGACACCCTTAATCACAGAGCACCACAAAGAATCTTGCTCTGAAGTGAATCTTGGTGTAAACATAAAAGATGACCACAACTCCATTTTAACTAGACAACATCCAGAGTATGTATCACGAACCAAATCAATGACATCATCTTTGAGTTTTAGATTACTTTGGCCAGTAAACTTTCTTAATCAATCAAACTACATTTTCAGTCAGGAGTATTAATCTATCAAAGGGAACATCTGTTGATGGGTTTCTATTATTTTCCTTCTATGTAGATGTTGACAGATTAGGGGGTCAAGTTGGTTGGGCTGGCTCGGTTCATTTTCATTCCAAACCCAATGTGCTGAAAGAGGTAAGTTCTCTAAAATCCCATTCCAAAGCCGAAAAGGTAAAAAACAGAACCAAACCCTACCAACCAAAACCATTTGGCTCATTGAAGCGCAGGTTACTTGGATAAAATAACTAGGCAGACTTCCACAAGTTTGAGCCCCTGGAATTGAAAAATCCCCAACTCGGCTTAGCTCACTTTCAAGGCCTGCCTAAAGTGCTTGACCATGAAAATCTGAAGTCTAAAGATTAGAGAGGACCATTAATTTCAATGACTGCCAACATTAATTTCAATGTAAAATATATCACCATTTTAACTATAGAATTTAATGTAGAAGACCAGATTTGAATTTTCAAATCAGAATGAACCAAATACCACCAAAACTGATCCAAGCCAACCCATTGAACCCTGGTTCAGTTTTTCAGTTTATTCCTTTCGCAACATTCATGTGGTACACTGAGAAACCAAACCCCTTCGGATAAGAGTACAGCTATCCCCAAATTAGTTTTCAAAGAGGTTGTTTCAGAAAAAAATCTTTCGAAAAAAGGTAAGGTGACTTAAAACTTATGTCCTATTCATCAATTGTTAATAATTGACAATTGGTTTTAAATTCACCCCTTTGGCATCCTAAAATTGATGTTCACGTTCTACTCCATTGTTCTTAATCTTGAACTTAAACCAATGCATAGACTATATTGCTTAAATAAACATTTCTTGTTTATAGATGTGAACTCAGCCCAGACTGAGTTGCTCGGTGACCACTTTGTGACAAAAACGAAGTCTCATCAAGCCAGTGCAGAACTGTAACGACTATACTTCTCAATGGCAAACCAAGAAGTTGCTTCTGATGGACGTGATGGGAAAAAATATGTACAGCATGAAAAAGGGATTCAAGGGGCTGCCACCGCATGCAACTAGATTAGGTAAACACCCAGTCCACCCCTACTTGCCGCTGCATGGGTGCGAGGGACCTAACACCGAGAGAATTGATGCTAGGCATGACCTCTTTTCCTATGCCAACAAGAGCAACATTTCAAAACAGTGTATTATTTAACAAGTACTATGTAACTGTAGGTAGGAAAGGAATTGAAATGCAATATAAATCATGTACTTGAAATGCACTGAGCAGATATACACCTGCAAAACTGCATGTCTCCTTATTCAGCAGACCCCAAAACATTAAGCAAATGATAAATGTTTAGCATATTCGGCAGTGTTGGCATTCAACAGTTTGATAAACTACCAGCAACACAAACCTGCAACATCTACGAAAATTTCACGCTTGTAGCCTTTATGCTTAGCCTTCCACAAGAGTAAGAACAAGCCTCCGAGAAGAAGAAGACCTAGAAGTGCGCCAACAATCCCAAATATAATTCCCGTCTTTGATTTACGCAAAGAACCTGCGGAGGTGATGTTGTTCTAGGATAGGATTAAGCTTGTCCAATAATTTAAAAATTATGGAACTGAACATATTTTCAATGTTTTTCTTTAAGGAGATACTCAACAAATATTTTATATTTTATGACAGAGTCTAGCTAATTTTAATACCTCCACTAGCAGAATCACAAGGGAGGGCAAAATTCATGCTACAATTCAAATGGTTCCCTGTAAAACTACATTTATGCAGCCAAAGTTAAATTAACCTCAATATTGGCAAACATGTGAGAAAGAAAGACTACATAGGCAGAAAATATCAAATCAATAAGCACCTTCCACTGCTTAAACCAGGAGCACATATCATTAAACTAGGAGCAAATGTCATCAAAGGGGAGAAAAAGAAAAATTTCCCATACTTGTATTTTGGAACTTGAAATAAATGCTGAGGTATTTGGCCGGTTAGACCATTAGAAGCAAGCTGCCTGCAAAAGAAGTTTCAATAATGCCATCAAAATCTGACAAAAGGTTCCCATCTTGGTAGGTTCACATAATTTCTGATTTTAGAAGCAATTGAAAAACTCAATTAAGTTACACATCAGAGGGAAAATCTTACTTGACTAAAACATATTCACATCATAAGAGATTAATGACTTACAAAGCAACCAAATTACGAAGACTTGAGAGTGTTTCAGGAATCTCCCCCGTAAGGTTGTTTTGATTCAAGAACCTGCTCACAAAATCAAGTAAATCACAGTTTTTTTAGGGCAACCATACAAAATCTATGATTAAATGGCACAAAAATACTTACAAAATACAGATACTACTACTTACAAGAATTGAAGCTTCTCAAGATTGCCAAGGGAAGATGGTATTTCTCCGGTTAAATGGTTGTTTTCCAAATCCAACATTGTCAGGCTTGTTAAATTTCCAATCTCTTTCGGTATCTCACCTGTTATGCCATTTCCTTGCAATGAACTGCAAGATTAATGCACGTTAAACGTGTCAACAAATCAGAAATGAAACATTGATATAACAGGATATAAGGGGCTTCAAGTGTCTCATTTCTCAGCCATCACTCAATACAGGAAAGAGATTCTTCCATGTATGAATAGAGAAATAACTTTTAACCCAAACTAGTCAGGTGCCAGGAGTAGTCCAGTACCAATAAGGTCATGTTTACCAAATAGAAATTGTTATTACGGCTGCCATTAATATGATTTAAAATGGGTGGTTTTGTGGTGGACTTAGGATGAGGAAAGCAAGTAGCTTTATGATGCCAAGAGCTGAAAGAGTGGTTGCCAAGAAACACTGATACGGATTCAGAATATATACATCACATGACACCAGCACAGGCAAATCCTAAAAAAGTTGGACAAGGACATGGCGAGACAAGGGTACATTTTTATATTTTCACATACGTGCAAGTACACAATTCTTTATACAGCTAGACAGATACGGATTCAAAAACTGGTGACCAAGTATGTGGTTCATACAACTACTTAGTGACCAACTAGGTGTGACGCACCAAGGCCAAACGTTAACTAATAGACAAGGACTTTCATAAAGACTTCAACATTTGTTTTGACTTCAAACAAGTAATATAGATAAATAAATGAGCCTTTACATTTAGAAATACACATGGCTACCCATTGCGTCGACCTAAAGAAAAAATGACCAAAATACCCTTGACATCAAATTTCATAAAACCTGATTGAGATCATTTTAACGATAAACTAAACAACGACTAACATAATACTATGCAATCCAATATCAATTACATGACATTCCAAGTGAGTCCCAAATCTAACTCCTTAATTGCCCCCTCTCTCTCTCAATCAAATGTTGTGCATCGTGTATGTCCTATGTGGGCTAGTATCACCAGACAAGTCTTTCATTGAGATATTGTAGAATCTCTTTATCCGACAAAATATTTTTGTAAATGCATATATAGCACCCTTTAATTTCCATTTCATAACCAATTTACAAATTTGTGGGTCAATAAACCTCATCAGCTAGATGCCACCAAAAAACTCATCACCTAAGTAATAGAAAAGAATATTTGAATCAAATTTCCAACAGCATTTAACGTTTTGCACTCCCGATTTAAGAAATCAACCTATGAAGCTTTAGAAATACCATTTTAGGGTTCAAATCAATGTTAGTAGGATTGCGGATCAATTTGTTATGTGGTATTGGTACTGATATGTAGTATCATACTTTCTCAAATAAAATGCATTATGTGGGGTAAACTTAGATGGTTATTGATTCAGGTGCGTTTCGCTTTGGAACTCCTATTGGGATTGCTTCTATTCTTATACATAACCATATACTATCATATATCCATGCACACATAGTCAATTGCTCTTAATTTTACGTTTACGGTAACTTTCCCTATATATCAAATTATAAATAATTTTACATCCATACAGACAAGGCAATTAATGCTAATTTTATGTTTGTAATAATAGTTCCAGAAAGAACTAAGTTGGGGTTAGGATTACATTTTTGGTGTCAAAAATTTAAGCGACACAAATCTGGAACCCACCCCATTTGAGGTCGTCCAATCCAGATAGTGGATAATCTGATTGAGTGATTTCTGGTAAGAAGTAACACCTTTAACCATATGATGGCAACCAGACTAGTCAGCCTTGTCCATAAGTCACAAAACCAGCAGTAATTTGACATAAGTTCACTAATCTACCTAAGAAAAACAACCTTAGCCAGCTCAACTTTTGGTCACTTTCTCTTAGGATGTCATGAAAGTACTAATCAAAAATCCTTTAGTAAGCAGCTGCTAAACATTACAGCTCGCTCAATTAATTGTCATTAACACCTATGGTAAACTAAAAGGTATGGCCTCAGGCAAAGCTAGATGGGAGGAAACAAAATTCTAAGTTCAAGACCATGTATATCAACAAAAGAATGGAGAACACACAATAAAATGATAGTGTAAAAGTACTAATAAATTCACATAGAACTGTACTCAAGTGTATCAACCACCAGACTGCGAAAAGTGAGAAAATCTCAAAAACAGGCGCACTTGAGGGCAGGAACTCAACTAGAAGATCAATGCACTGTCTGTCAGAGCATCTTTGGATATTATCTCACACACTCACTTCCAAAATGAATAAGGCATGCCATAACTTAGGGATAAAATAGGATCATGACACTGAAGACGATACGTATACATGTACATATATAATGCAGATATATATCCTTCTGCACTCCCCGAACCATTAATTAATTGCTTAAGTCGAGAGCACTGGTTTGAGGCAATTAAATGTATCCAGATCTCAGAGCTGCATAATTTAATAATTATGCATATCAAACTGTCCTACACGTACAGAGTCAAAAGAGTCTTCAGAACTCCGATTTTTGAAGACAATGTACCAGAAAATCCCATGTTGGACAATGATCTGCAAATAAGTAAGACAACCAATTATTAGGTTGGAGGGTATACAACTAAAAAGAAAAATCTGTCACTGTAAATGACACTAGCTACTATCGCAGCAATGTGCTAGCATGCATAATGGTAAGACAAAATCAAAACCAAGCCTTATGTCCCAATTATTTGGGGTCGGCTACATAATAGTAAGACAGAAAGCAAAAAATACATTGCAAAAATTACATCACAAAACTACTTACACAGTGATGACATTATTATTTGGGTCACACTGAACGTTCGACCAAGTGCATGGGTTAACTTGATTCGGATACCAATTCGAGAGCTGACTGTTTGAAGCATTTAGTGAACTCCTCAGTGAAAAGAGAGCATCTCCTAAAACAAAACCCAAGATTGTTCACATTCAATTGAAGCTATTAGGCCACCCCTAACTAATTAAATTTGAAATTAGGCTTTGGAAAAAAAAAAGCACAGGTGAACATAGAAGGTTTTTGCAAATAATTGCTAATACCTTGATTATCTACATTTAGCATCATGATGTCTAAAACATGGAATACCTTGTTCCAGAAGACAAAAGTTAGTGATCCAAGAATACTCTCATATTTGTTCCCCTTATTTTTTCTTTCAAGTTAAGAATTGAAGGAAAGGGCCACAACAAAAAGACCTCCTTAAAAGCAAATAGGCATCCTCAATGACTTAATTAGTCCACTCAAATATAATTGTTAAAAATTCATCTACTCCAAAAGCTTAAGCTACTAGAGACGATCTAACTTGAACATTTATACTTTAGCCCCTCACGTGCAGGCTAATTCTTTGGGCCTAATACGTGAAAATATTTTAATCATTAAAGTGGCGGCGAGATTCGAACACAAGACCTCCTACTCTGATACCATGTTAAACAACCATCTACTCCAAAAACTTAAATTGTTTGTAAATTAAGTATTTATACTTCAACAATAACAATTATCTGATAATAAATGGATGACTTGCACATTGTCAAAGTATTATCAATTAAATAAAGCCACTAGCATGACCAAATCTACTTATATAAGATTTTAACATTACATCGGTAGCATATGCTTTTATTCATATCCATTTTCCATTCCTTTTCTGTTTTGAAAGAGATCTCTATAATAAAGAGCAGTTGTTCCTTAACATGAATTTTAATCACAAGTTGATAGAAACCTCTCCAAATGGAAACTCTAATAAGTCTAGATTTTAGTTTATTTTATTTTCATATCTTTCTCATTTGGCTTCGCTCTGTCCATTTGCAGTTGAGGTGGGCTATAGCCTAAAATAAATATTGCCACAAACATCAATGATTTCAGCCAAACTTATTACTCGCAAAAAAGTCAAAAGAAAAAGGGAAGACAACAAAGACAGTTCAACAATTTTTTTTGGTTTTGGAGGGGAGGGGGGCAAAGAGAGAGAGAGAACAAATTAGCAGGTTGCAATTCTAGACTGCAATTATCTACAAGAGTGAAGCCAATAGAAGTAGAGATATCAGCTCCCATCTGTATTTGTGTTTGTAAACAAATAAGAGAAATGACTACTAAACACAAAAGAGTATCCTTAAATAGAATATCCACGAACTGTTGGAGTGAAGAAGAATAATAAAAAAAATCCATACCTTGGGCATCAGGCAAGACAAAAGACTGCAAGCATGCCAATATTGCAGCTGCGAAAATCAGCTCCACCTCTAATGACATCATTCAACTGATTGGCTCAAGCTAAAACCTTATTTCAAGTGATCAATAACATAATTGGTCATCCTCTTTAATGCATGGACAAGCACAACCCTAGAAACCATTGAAACACAGAAATACACTAACTCAGACATGAAGCTGGATAAGGAAACAATTACTAAATGGATATCATAGCAATAAATAGGACACGTCTCAGTGAGGGAGAAATGGTGTGGTAATTGTCAAGCTGACAGCCATGAGTTGTATGTTCAAACTCGAAAGCATCAATTTGTCAAAATAATGTCAAAGGTTAAGTCAGGATCAACTCTACCCTCCCAGGCCCTCCATTAATGGGAACCAAACTGGATAATAACCATTTATCAAAATCTAGGAACAAACGGATGGAAACAGGATGGTAGGTCAACATGTACTGAAGAATAGCACTTGTAGACAACCACATGTCACTGTCATGCTAGTCATCCCAATGATGGATCTGCGAAAACTCCATATTAGACTGAGTTGGTCATTACTGACTGGAACCAACTGAAAGATAACGAGGTCAGATAAGCCTTGTTCCCATTTGTTCAGACTTCAGAATTTGGGCTCCAACCCTGGACAAACCATGTTTTTTGAGGGTTTCTTGTATTAACAGTTTACCTCTCCAAAGGGGTCAGATTCAAGGTTAAAAGCACTGTTCCATTCCAAAAAAGGTGGTGAATGCAATCATTTGAGTTATAAAATCCTTCTCTTACTCTGTGCTGTTGTACTATTTCTCTAATAACCATTTCTAGCAAGGAAACATGTGTCTTATATAAATCAGGAAAAAGTGATATATCTCTTATAAGTGGGTCTGATAGATGTTTGACACTTTTCTGGAGAAATTGTTCTGTAATGAGTCGAAAATGAAAAGGCCAAAGAGGCAAGAAGATCCAAATAATATTTATTCCAAAATATAAAATGAAACATCAATGACTAAATGGCCAGTTATTGAATTTCCCCTTACCTTATGAAATCAGTAATTTTGCCAATCTAAAAGCTGAAGTTTGATTCTTTAAGTTCCTCGCTATTTGTAAATGTTCCAATCATCCTCCTTTGTTCTTATGCCCTTTCCTTTCCACCAAATTGCAGTGTATGCACAAACAGATCTATGATACACTTACTGTAAAACTTTTCTTTGCAAAGGGGGAATCAACCAGTTAGGTTTCCATTAATCAAGGATTTGGCGAGCTGTGAATTTGATACAATTTTTTATATTATTTTTTTTCATAAAGCTCACATCAAAACTTTTATTCCTCTACAGACAAAAAAAAAACAAAGAACAAAAAGTGGGTCTGGAAGAAACAACAGGAAAGACAACAGCAAAACAAAAAAGCATTAAAAACTCTTAGTTAAGTAGCCCAATTAATTCAAGCAAGCTCATTTATTCTTCAACCCATTGCACCCAGCGATAATTTAGAACATAAACAGAAAAATCAATGCTACAACTACACCTCTTCAAATTCACCAAGACCGAACTAGCATTAATTCCATAACTTACACAGAACAATTCAAATCTCACTAAATAAAACCAACAAAAATCATGGATGCATGTAGATAGAGCTTTATCAAAAGCTCTCTAGTGACAATCATCAGTTACCCAAACATCATCACACACATATACACATACATACATAGAAAGAAGAATTCAAGAACAACTTTAACAAGGAACAAAGTTAGGGCTATGAGAAGAGTTTATTGTGGGTTGAAAACTGTACTTGCAATGAATCTGAAAAGTTGCTCTTCTTCTTTTTCTCCTTCTTTTTCTTTATTTATTGACTGTACACGTTTATAGGAAATGAAATATACGAAGCTCTCTATGCAATCATTAGGGGAGAAGTCTCCTCTAATTCTCGGCTGCTCTCTCTTATAATTGTAATATTTACAAGAACATCTAGTATATTATCTAAAACCTAACCTCATTATACATACCTCTTTCAATCGATATCATCTTTTCTTGATACAATCCCTCCCTACCATAGAATATTATGGCTTAGGTTGTCATTACTCATGATTTAAACTCCAAAAATTGTACTTGATGCACTAATCATTCACGTATTTAATATTTTATTATTTTAGGCAATATGAACGGTAAATAATTCTATAACTATTTTTGGTCTAAAATTCTAAGAGTCGTGAAATCTGTAATATATCGCCTAAGAGAATTAACACTTATCATCTGTTTGAGATTTTATAGTTTCACTATAAATTCATCTTAAAATCCCATCCTTAAGTTCAATTATTTCATTAAAAAAAATGTTTAAAAATATGTGCATATCATACTCATAATTACCAACGCCACCGCACTCTACACAACCACCACAATCCCAATTCATATTGACTCCTCAAATCTAAACCAAAAATCATTTGTTTAAGAAAATCATTTGCTTATTATCTCTAAAAATGGAAAAAGTAAACTTCATCCTTAAAAAAAATACATCATCCTAAAATTTGCAGTCAAGGATCTTCTCAACTTTTTGTAAATGCACATGCACATTTGTATCAGTTTTTTTCCAGGCAAAGGTGGGCCTACCACATTGATGTTTTAGGTTCAGTGAATCTCAAAAGAGTAAACTTAAAGGTGGACCACCCAGTGGCGGAGTTTGACTAGACATCACTAATCCAAGTTAATGAGACATTTTGTAGCCTCTATCAAATATTGGAACTTAGTACTAATTCAATGATTCTATGAAGTCATATTATTATGCTAGTAAATTAGGTCAAATTTTTAGAACTAAATAACATTATTCATTTATATTATAAAACAGAATAGATTTTAATAAATCTATTTTATGGTCTCAAATAAATTCATCTAACGAACACCAAGATCCCTCTTAAATTTTCACATTGCCTAAGGGCACGGGTTACCATAGCATACTATATAAGTGAGTCTCATTCTTACCATAGCATACTATATAAGTGAGTCTCATTCTAATATGCGCATCAGTGATTCATCCTTAAAAAAAAAATTTAGACAAATATATATTATAGGGGATCAAAATCCATTATTGCTCCATAAAAATAAAAAGGGATTTAAGTTTACATACTCTAAGAGTGAAAAATATATGGGCCTGTTTGGTTTGTGTTTCAAAAAATAGTATCCAAAAATAGTTTTTGGGAAGAGTTTTAAGAATGTAATTTTGATATTTTTTGAGATAAAAAACTTGTTTGGTTAGATGGTTTCAAAAATAATTTTACAATATAGAAAATAGTAAAACATATTTGGACAGTCTAAATATATATTTGAACAGTAATTCAAACATTAATAAAAAATATAAAAAAAATATTTTTAGATTGATAATTTCATAAAAAAAAAATTCAATAAACCAAACTTTAATATATATATATATATATATATATATATATATATATATATATATATATATATATATATATATATATATATAAGAACATATTATATAAATATATTGTTCTCCTTATTTCCAAAATTTTCAAAGAAAACTCAAAAAATAAGCTACACTTGTTTTCTGTTTCTTTGACTCAAATTTCATTTTTTTTTTCTAAAATTTAGAGAATAAAAATGCTAAAGAAACAGGTTTTTGGTGTTTTTAAAATTTTGAAAACAAAAAATTATTTCTGGATCACAAACCAAACATGACCTATGTTTTTAATTGGTGTATCGTATATTTATGAGTTTCACTAAAAAATTAAAATTTCAACTATTATCAAAGACAAGAAAATAATATCTGATCTGATCCTTTTTTTTATTCAAAATTTACATTGAACTCTCACAAGTTCTTTTAGTAATTTTCATCCTCCCCCTTTTTAAAATAGGTAAGATACATAACAATTGCTTCTTTTTTTTTTCAATTCTGCACTCAAGACAATAGTTTGAAAATGAAACAGACCTAACAATGGCATTAGGAGGGATGAATATAGATTAAATGTAAAATAATATGCAATGTTTCTTAACCAATAAAAGCATTTGTCAAAAACACCTCAACATCACATAGTTAAAGATTCGTTTGGGGTCGAATTTTCTACGTGTAGGTCCGACAGTTACAATGATTGATTACGATTTACGCGGTGGAGAACAATAATCCAACAGCACCCTGGCAATTGAGCTGTGTAGTTCCGGTTCATTATGAGTTCACATTAAACATTAATCAACCATAATTCAATTTATTTAATTAATCGTGTCGTGTCGAATTAACCTGTTTATTTTTGTGTTTATATTTGTATTGACTCACTTAAACATTGAGTAAAAAATTTAATGCTAAAATTTTATTTTCACTTATTTGAATTCATGCTCATACTTTTTTTACAGACTAAAAATTAACTTAATAAACAAAATAATAATAATAAGTAAAAATATTTTTTTATACAATAATTATATCAGTGTTTAATAAATAATTACAAATAACTAACATTTTATTTCTATAATACTAATTCAACATGCTGATCGTGTTAATTTTGTGTTATTTGTGTTATCATATAACGAAAAAATAGAAAAAGTGTCAATTCTTAAATAAAATGGTTGATCGTGTCAATTTCGAGTTTAGCAGGTTAAACCCGAACATGACCCGTTTATATTTTGTGTTTGCGTGACCGGTCATTTTTGAGTTCATGTCGAGTTATAATTGTGTCATAAAATTCGTATCGAGCTTAAGTCATTTTATTGTGTTGAGTCAAAAATTGCCCCTCCTTAACACCACAGAACATAAAATTCGTATCGAGCTTAAGTCATTTTACTGTGTTGAGTCAAAAATTGCCCCTCCTTAACACCACAGAACAATAATCCAACAACACCACAATTTCGATGAAATTAAAGCCTAATATAATAATGGTTTTCTCCCTCAATATTGCATCGAAATTTACAAATTAAACATATCAATCTACAATCAACTGAATTTGGTTATCATTGATTTAAAAAAAAATTAGGATTTAATATTCTAAGATTAACCTCTTTTTTTGAGTTGTACCATAACCTCTCCCATAATCTTAAAGTAATTGAAGCTCCTCAATCTCTCATTCTGAATCCAATTTTTTTTAATCATATTTTACACCCTAAAAGATTTAAAATTATTGATTTATATTTTAAAAATTAATTTTTTTACATTGCACGCACACTCAACATTATAAAATGGCTATATTGTGCTCCTCATGTTAACTTCCACTATTATTTTTGTCAAATTCATGTACATTGTGTACAACAAGGATTAACAGAAATAACAATAAAAATTAATGTGAAAACCACATTAATATTTGAGAATGCAAACCAAGAATTTTAAAATCCTTTTGTATGCAAAGTATGATTTTCTCTTCTTTTTTTTTTAACAAGTAATTTAAACCCGACTTCTACCCATTTGAATATAAATAAATCGGAATGAAATATGAATTGAACTGAAATTCACTATTTTTGAAAGGGGAATCAAACTAGATCCCAGAAACTCGAGTACATAAATTATCTACCAAATTAAAATATTTTGGGTTAGGTTTCTGTTGGGATTGCAAAAAAACAAAATTCAAATGGGTCCTTTGTGAGCACTAACGTACGTTATTGTTGTTTTCTTTCTTTACTTTTTGTTTCGTTTTCTCTTTTCTGTTGCCTTTCTTTCTTTATTATGCCGAGGTGATAACAGTTGACAAGGCGAATGCATCCAAAGAGAATTATTTGAGTGATGATTCAGCTTATCTTCAACTTCTTCCGTCCAAAGCTTGAACTCTAAAAGTAAGAAAATGAGAGAGAACCAAAATTCCAAACTTTCATTGAGTAAACAAATAAATGGCCTATCAAGACATGAAAATATAAATCAATACATGCTCAAAAACCAATAGATTGTGAGTTGAACACTATGAATTCTGAGTTTTTGCAGGGAAGTGATGGTCATGAAAAAATGAAATAGGTTCCTTCGATATTTTATGATACCAAGAATAAAGTCATCTTCAAGGATGACTTTGCTCAACAACAGAAGAAGATAAGCCAACTCAACTCAAACACGAGTCGGGATCAAGTTAGCAGTTTTGCAAAACTAAAATAACTTATTCCATTAGAAGAAGAGAGACGAGGAGTATCACCCATCTCTAGACCTCGTCTAAGAATAAAATTATTAGTGTTACGTCACCTATTTTAGAAGGTCACGTAATGTCTAGAGAATATAGTTTCTAACGACTCAATATTCTTTTTAATATTCTAATAGATTGAGGGACCACTCATGATAAATTGAGGATCACCCTACTTTCGAGCATATAAGTAGTAAAACCCTACTTAATGAATGACTATTATTTTTATTATCTCATTTATCTTCTCTCTTTCTAAATTTTTTTCGATCCACTACTTATTCAATGGTTGAAATTATCAAATCTAATTTTAAATTTTAGTTTTTAAATCCATCTAGCATTACTCTTTCGACAAAACAAACAAAAATTTATTACGGTTCAGGTTCGGGCTCTCTTTTTTGAAACCAAATCAGTTGTCATATAATTTGAACTCCAAATTTAATCTCTAAATTTAGTCGGTGTATTTCTCTCGCTTATAAAGGGGGTTTCACTTCTCAGGGTTCATTCCCTTTAGAAGTTGGTTACCTTATGGTCACTCATATTGAACCCAATCAAAAACAAGCCATGGCTATCTTTACATTTACTATATCATGGCTTCCTCTTCTTCTACTCCTCTCTCTGCCCCTCCTTTACCTCTGTCTTCTCTATCCAAAGAAGAAAGATCAAAAAGGAGCCAAGCTTCCTCCATGCCCTCCGAGGTTTCCCATCATAGGCAACTTGCACCAGATAGGCAAACTGCCTCACCAATCCCTATGGCAACTCTCGCAGAAATACGGTCCGATCATGCTATTACAGCTCGGTAACAGCCCAACCCTAGTCATCTCATCGGCAGACATGGCCAAAGAAGTCTTGAAAACACACGATGTCGACTTCTGCAGCCGGCCACCCTCTCCCGGTGCTAAGAGACTTACCTACAATTTCTCAGACATGGCT